GTAACAGAAAATAATCCAAAGAAAGGCATTAATAACAATAAAAACAGGAATTAATAAAGAGAAAAAAAATTAGATACAATAGAAATGACTGACCAGGCCAAAAAATATGTTCCTTGAGAAGTTTAATAAAGCCATTAAGCATCTAGCAATGCATATGAAAAACAAACAAACAAACACACTAGAGAAAGCACACTAATCCATATTAGTAACAAAAAAAGAAAGAGTAGGTATGAAAATATTTGGGACAATTTTATGCCAATAAATTTTAAAGCTTCAATGAAATAGATAAATTCTTAGAAAATATAATAGCCCAATGAAACTTACTCTTAAAAAACATGAAAATAGTCCTATAAACCAATAAGAAATTGAATAAAAGTAGTTAAAAGTCTTTCTATAAGAAAACATCTGGCCCAAATGATATTACCCATGCATTCTACCACAGTCAATAAAATAATTCCAAACTCATAAACCATGCTGGTGTATATAAATAGGAAATCCTCTTCAGCCGATTCTATGAGACTAACTTAACTTTGACATTGTCTTTTACTGACAAAACTAAGTAGTTTTACTGAAAAAAAAAATGTGATTAAAAATATGTACGCTGTTTTGAATGAACATCACATATTGGTTTTTTACATTTATGTAAATATTTTTCTATATTGTAAGTGATGAAAGAATAAATATTAGGCTCCATTACCATCAGGGTTCTAGATGTGATTTAGGTTCCCGAATGAGATACTCTCACACAATGTTTAGAAGATGCAAGATAGATAGAAGCCATCTTTTTGCAGCTATAGATATTTCTGCTGGTTAGCAAAGTCCCATACACTACAGAAGCATTGGGTATATGTTCTCCAGCTTTTGATGGCTGGCTACAGGCTGCTTCATCAGCTAACCAGATTTAGTTAGCTCCAGCGATGGTATCAAGGTTGTAGCACCCTTAGTGAGGCACTTCCCTTTTCTTTGGGGAGTCATTCCAAGATGCTCAGGTAGACCCTGCTACTTTGATATTACCAATAATTTTGTAAGATCCTAATTTTCTTTCAAATCCAT